CCCCCCCCCCCCCCCAGTCTCTGTACCAACTGTGTGTTGAGTACCAAAGCCTTCATGATTTTTGGCTTTTTTCAAGACCATCAGATGCCCTTTGGTATATTTCACAATTTTCCATACAGCCTCAGGAGATCTAGGAGAAAACCTTAACTTGCATAAAACTTTTCACAGCTTCTATAAACCTAGATTTATTTCCATCTCCCTGAGTACCTCATTTGTCACTGCTAATGAAAGTAATATAATAGGTCATGAAGCTAACTATAAGGTACAAGATGATAGCAAACATGTATTCCTTTTTTGTAGAATCAGGGCAAGTGAGAGCATCTGGAAGCTTCAGGACAGAAAACTACTATATCCTTGTATGAATGGGAGAAAATGTGATTTCTAGGGTGGCAATCTCAGGCTGGAATTTTCTTCCTGGAACTACAACCCTTGCTTTTTTTTAATTTTTTTTTTTTTTTTTGAGAGAGAGAGAGACAGCATGAGTTGGGGAGGTACAGAGAGAGGGGGAGACAGAATCACAAGCAGGCTCCATGCTGTCAGTGCAGAGCCCAACATGAGCCTCGAACTCATGAACTGCAGGATCACAACAGGATCTTGAACAGGAATCAAGAGTCGGATATTTAACCAACTGAGCTGCCCAGGCACTCCAGTCCCTTGCTTTTTTGGAAATGGTTTTCACCAGACTAGTATACCAGCATCCTTTGTTTTTACCAGCATAATTGAAATTCTTCTTCTCATATTCATATTACCATATGTTCTTGCATGTTGTTAAAAATAGTTTTCTCCGGGCCTATATGGAATATTGACTATTGTAACTACTTTAATAAAAAAGGAGGAGCTTCATATTGTTTTGAGCATCAATTAGCTTCCACCCATAGTTTGCATGCCTATATCCATTTTCATAATTGTGGAATTTTTTGTAAAGTTTAAATGTTAATTATTATAGGATAGAAAATCAATAAGTAGACCTACAAAGAGCACAGGATAGTGTAGTTAGGTGCTAGTCAGAGTTGAGCCAAGTACTAAATAAACTCTGATTATTTTTCCTTTCATTCATACCCTTTTGTTTCCGTATAGTTAATAATTGCCTTACTTTTAGTTCCCCTGTATTTTTTGTGCACATTGGAAGTCAACCCCAAATTCTCTATTTGGTCTAAATCTCCCCTCGATGTTTATTTGCACTAGGTAGTCTTCTCCTTGAAGATCTATGGTGGAACTGTTTGACCTCCTTTAATCTGGATTAGTTGTCCTTTTTGCCAGCATTTATCATAAATGTGAGAAATTCCTTTCTTTGTTTCCAAAGTTGGATCTTTCCTTTATTTGCCCTCTTTCTTTCTTGGTGTACCCCCTAATTTTGATGGATCGGTCTCCAGTAGCTTCTTAGAAAGAGATGTGTAAAGTAAAATTTTGAGATGTCCTATGTTTGAAAATATTTTATCTTCCTATATGTTGACTGGTAACTAAGTATAGATGGTTTTGGTTAGCAGTAACTTTTCTACAGAGTACTGCAGGAAATCTTCCATTGTCTTCTAGCTTCCACAATTGCTGTTTAAAAAGTCATAACTGGGGCATCTGGGTGGCTTAGTCAGTTAAGCGTCCGACTTTCACTTAGGTCATGATCTCGCGGTTCGTGGGTTCGAGCCCCGCGTCGGGCTCTCTGCTGACTGCCAGCTCAGGGCCTGGAGCCTGTTTCAGTCTGTGACTCCCTCTCTCTCTGACCCTCCCCTGCTCACGCTGTCTCTCTCTCTCTCTCTCTCTCCTAGAAATAAATAAAATTAAAAAAAAAATAAAAAGTCATAACTACTTTGATTACTGATCCTTTGTATATCCCCTAATTTTTTCCTCTGAAAGTTTTTAGAATCCTCTTTTTGCCCAGTATGCTTGTTATGGGTCTGTATTCATCCATTGTTCTGGGCCTTCAGTGTGCTATTTCAGTCTAGGAACATCCTTCATTCCTGGAAAAGAGTTTTTTATCTCTGTTACCAAGTTTTTTTTTCCAAGAGCTCTTTTACTTTGTCTTTAAATGTTTCTTTTTAAAATTAATAAATATGGGGTGCCTGGGTGGCTCAGTGGGTTAGGTGTCCCAACTCTTGGTTTCGGCTCAGGTCATGATCTCACAGTTTTGTGAGTTCAAGTTGGGGGGGGGGTGGTTAATATAATTTATTGTCAAGTTGGCTAACATACAGTATATACAGTGTGCCCTTGGTTTTAGGGGTATATTCCTGTCATTCATCACTTACATACAACACCCAGTGTTCATCCTAACATATACCCTCCTCAGTGTCCATCACCCCCTTTCCCCTCTCCCCCACTACCCCCTCCATGAACCCTCAGTTCTCTGTATTTAAGAGCCTCTTATGGTTTGCCTTCCTCCCTCTTTGTAACTATTCTTCCCCTTCCCTTCCCCCATGGGCTTTTAAGTTTCTCAAGTTCCACATATGAGTGAATACATATGATATCTGTCTTTCTCTGATGGACTTATTTCACTTAATATAATACCCTCCAGTTCCATCCACATTGCTGCAAATGGCAGGATTTCATTCTTTCTCATTGCCAAGTAGTATTCCATTGTATAGATAAACCACATCTTCTTTTTCCAATCATTAGTTGACGGACATTTAGATAGCCTTGGTTTTGTTTATTCTCTATGTAGTCTTATTTTCTCTCAGGTTGCTTTTTGGGGGGGAAAGTAGAGTCGCTTTTGGCTATTTTGGTGCTTATCTCTCTTATTAGAATATCTCCATAAGTGTGTGGTAAACCTTGGGAGTCTATGTTGTGACAGTCTCAACAGCTGATGGAAGCTGAATCCATGGGAGAACTCGGCATTTCTGCACTTCCCTGTTCTTAGAAAATACCTTATCAGTGTCTTTAAGTCTTTCCTCTTGGGCTGGATGGGTTTTCCAGAGAAGACTTCCAGTTTCCCACGTGAAGGATAAAGACCAAGATGCCCAGTTTTTAGAAGACCAGTGTGGAAAATAGCCAGGGTCTTTGCGTTCAGCATATGTTCATTTAGTGCCATTGTTGCGTTTTGATGCCGTTGCCTCCCAGCTGTGCTGGGTGTCTTCGCCCAGAGACCCTCTGTTTTATCTCTCCGCTATGTAACCTGCAGTGTAGAGTCTAAATTTCTCTTAGAGAACTTACAAACCATCATACTCCTCTTCCCTTACGTCCTTTCATCCTCGCTCAGGGAAGCCTTGTACTGTCATTGCAGAACTTAGTGAGGAGTCTTTCTTTTTTGGTAAATATGCTTAAATAGGATTGCTCTTCTCTACTGCTAGTTTAGGATTCAGCTTTCCCAATTCTGCTAAGTCACTTAAAACCCATCCCTGGGCTAAAGTCATAGATTTAGATTAAAAATCATCCTCAAAGCATGATATACTTGCCTTATTTAATTAGTTAATTGGTTATCTTTGATTTTATAATCAGCATCTCTAACTTTCTACCCGCTCAGGAAGCCATAGATAGTACTCTTTGACCTCAGAAGTACTTTTCAATAATTAGAACTCACAAAAATGTCAGTACTTTAGTTAGCTCTTATAACCTTACTGCAATTAAATGTGGGGTTTCCATTAGACTTATTTAAATATCGAAAATCTCTACAAAGAGCCCTCTTTGTTGCCTTTGGGGAAATCTTGGGCCTTGGAGCCCAGGTTAAGGTTGCAGTTTTGATCACCATACAGTAAGACAGAAGTCTAAACTTTTTTTTTTCTTATTTTCCACTACAGGGATGTTATCAAGTGGTTGGTCAAAGTAGTGACTGAAGACGGATTAACTCAGCCCACAAGTGGGAATCAGACCTCTCCAGGAACAGGAATCTTGAAGGCCACCAGTAGCCATCCTTCACCCCAGCCTAACCTGACAAAGAACACCAATCAGCTGTAAGGGGCAGGCAGAAGTTGTCTTTCCCAGGGCTATTGGGATTTATTGCTTTAGAGAACAGCACCATTCCTAGAAGTTTCCACAAAGTTAGTAATCTCTTGTAATAGGCTGATTTTTACTAAAGACTATCTTAGTTTGACTAAAGGCTAAATTCTAATGCCAAAGCTAAACAAGGCACATGATTTCCCTCTTAGATGAATAGGACTTCACGAAGTGAACATAAATTCACAAAGTTGAAGTGAAACAAAAGCGAGGGGATGCTGCCCTCCATTCCCTGGATTCCAGGAGACACTGCAGGATTACAGCTCCTCATTACTTCAGCCGTCCAGCAACAGAAGAAGAGCAAGAGTCAGGGATAGTGGGTGTTCTGGCAGCCTGTAAGGACCTTCACGTCTCTCCTCCAGGCCTGGGAGAAGAGTAGCGGTTTAACCTGCAGATTCCAACAGGTTATAACAGCAATGGCTCAGACCACACTGAAAAGAGATTCCTGGCATTTCTGTTACAGGATTGAGGGTGGTTTGGGCATTTTTTTGAGAGAGGCCAGGATCTTAGAGTCCAAAGCTGTCATTGCACACATCACCTACTACTACTCCATGTCAGTCATATTGTTAAAAGCCAATCACACTTGACATTTCAAATACAGCGTTTGTGCCTAAATTCACAATGCTATTTTATAATCTGGTTGCATTGATCTGATTTACATATAAAGCCTACGGGTTTTAACTAATTGAAGAGACAATCTTATATCTAAAGGGAGAATGTTTAGAACAATAAAGCATTTGCTTGGCAGAGTGGGAAAGGCCCTAAAGTAGGGTTATCCGAGAACCTCAGTATACAGACCTAACAGAGAGGCAGACACTGTTCCTTCGTTGGAAGATAGTCTATATCATAATCTAAATTATTATTTATTATAAGTAAATATTAGGAGAAAGAAAAATAAACCCCTCTAAAAGTCAATTTCTCAGGATCTTAACAACAATAAGCACTACCATTTACCACTAATGAGTGTGTATCTGCCAAATATCTTACATAGCACTCACAACTTTCTGAAATAGGTGGTGTTATTTTCCATTTTTAGAAATGAGAAGACGGACTCAAAGCAGTTTAGTCATTTGTCAGAAGTTGACCAACTTCTTTTTTTTTTTTTTTAATGTTTTATTTATTTCTAGGAGAGAGAGAGAGACAGTGTGAGCAGGGGAGGGTCAGAGAGAGAGGGAGTCACAGACTGAAACAGGCTCCAGGCTCCGAGCTGGCAGTCAGCACAGAGCCCGACGCGGGGCTCGAACCCACGAACCGCGAGATCATGACCTAAGCGAAAGTCAGACGCTTAACCAACTAAGCCACCCAGGCGCCCCAGAAGTTGACCAACTTCTAATTGCAGAACCAGAATCTGATGCCACAGCCCCTGGGCCACCTCTTGTGTTACTATAGCTGCAGATTTTCTGATAACAGAGCCCTTTCTTCCACCACAAATAATGATGCATGTTAGAAAAGGCTGACTTCAGGCCAGGCCCACCTTTCTGAGGGGTGGCCTGCATTCTTTTGGCCACATCAACCTGGCTCCCTCCCACATTAGGGCTGATGGGAGAGAGGGTCACAGTCCACTAGTTGAAGTTCTGAGACTGACTTAGTAAAAGATGACTATAAGGGAACCAGGAGCAGGAGAACCATATGATAAATATGTATTTTCTCCCGTATCAAAGAAATTCAAATAATTGATAGTCATTCTGGACCTGTTTCTTCATCTGGAAAATAGAGAAGTTATAGGTTACATGATCCTTAAAGTTCTCTAGATCCTATTTTTTTAAATTTAAAAGTAGCTTGCTTTTACAGCTCAGCAGTTTGAGAGGTTCAGATAGTATGAGCTGGCAAAGGGATTAAGGAAGGTGAAATTGCTAAATAAAATTAGCATGCTGATGGTTCAAGTAGTTCTCCCTGACCTCGTATGTGCTTTACAAGATCCTTTAGTGCACTGGTGGGGGCACCCTCCCAGCTAGCAGGGCGGCTCCTTGCCAGACTGTCTCACTCACTTGTGTTCTGTGTTCTGCACTCAGGATTGTGTGTCAGCTGCAGAGGATGCTGTCCATCGCCGTAGAGGTGGACAGGACCCCCACCTGCAGCTCCAATAAAATTGCTGAGATGATGTTTGGGTTTGTGCTGGACATTCCTGAGAGGAGTCAGAGGTGAGTCTTACTTTCGTTTCTGTTTTATGTTCTGGGAACAGAATTTCAAAAGAAAATTCCAAACAGTAGTTAAATTGGGAAAAAAGAGAAGGACGGATAGTTTCTGCTCTTGAACCTTTTGAAAGAAAGAGGGTTTCAACTAATTATTTGAAACTAAGACGTAACCACTTGAGAACAGGCAGGATGCCTTAAATGGAACCTACAGTTTCTTACTTTATTCATTTGGCTGAGAACTTACTCACCCCTCAAGGTTCAGCTGTTCTCTGATCTTCAACCATAGGGCCTGATATAAATGTTCATTAAAGGCTTGGTGGATGAATGAAATAGGCATGTCCAATATTAGCAGAAGAAGAGGTGAGCCGAGGATGAAATAGTTGGGCCTGTAGAATAAGCTCAAACAATTAAGAATAAGGAACTCAATTTCTCTAAGAATATTAGTAAAGTGTTTCCTCTAGGAGGAGACAAAGAAATAGAGTTCTTGGCAGGGACCAGTGATTCTTTCTTTAAACCAGTAATTTTAGAATCCAGAGGAAAAATAAATGAATGAATGAATGAACATGAATTCATGAATAGTTGCTGGTATAGGAAGTAACCATGAGAGAGCCATTGTACAGTAGGGTGTCTTGGGGAAATGATCTCTGTCAGAGCTCCATGTGTGACTTCTGATCCCCATCCCATAAACTCCCAATTGGCAGGCAAGACTATGCTTATACAGTTCTGGTTCCTCTGTTAGAAGAGAATGTCATATCAAAATGTACTGTAATAGAGATTTAATTAAAATACCCCAGTGAGAATAAGAAAGACATTTATTGACTCCCTACAATGACATGTGTCATTGACACATTAACTATCTCATATTTTTATATGTTGTTCCTATTTAACAAATCAAAAAAATATTTAAAGTAGTGAAATGATTAGTCCACGGTTACACAGCTAATTGGATTAATAATACAAATTTAAACCCAGGACTTTTTAATCCCAAATTCAGTGTTCAAAGGAAGCAATATGTTATGGTGGTCAGACTGAAGGAAATGCTGTGCTTGCTCTATCACTTTGTCAGGAGTATTTCATTTGGTGGGTCCAACTCACATGCCATTCATTCATTTAAGCCTAGATTCTTATGAGAGATGGGAACTCTAAGGAATGGGTAACTATAAACACATTCAGACCTAACATTGACAAAAAATATTTAAATAAAGCCTGACCCTATTCTAAAATTCAGAAGGGGCAAATTGACAGGCACCCAAATTGTACTAGAAGATACTTTTATATAGCCTTTACCTTGGTTTATTTAAATTCTTTGAAGTTTAGGTATAATTTACGTACAATTAAATTATGTAAACTGATTTGCATAAGTATTCCATAGATTTTGACAAACGTATAACCCATGTGGCCTATCATTTTCTAGTGGCTCATTGATAGTATATAGCAATCCTGCTTCAACCTTGCTATATTCACTTATTATATCCAGCAGGAATACTTTTGTGGTTTTTTTAGGATTTTCTACAAACACAACCATATTGTCTGCAAATAAAAGCAGTTTAACCTCTTCCTTTCAAATCTGTATGCCTTTTGCTTCTTTTTCCTGCCATATTACATGGGCTAGCACCTCCAACAGCTTGTTGGAGAAGGATAAGAGCAGACATCCTTGCCTTATTCCTAATCTTAGTGGGAAAACAGTCAGTCTTTGACCAAGTATAATGTTAGCTGTAGATGTTTCATAGAAGGTTGTCTGTTAGATTGAGGAAGCTTCCTTCTATTTCTAGTTTCTGTGGTGGAATGTTTTATCAAGAATAGGTATTGAAACTTGTGAAATATGTTTTCTGCATCTATTGAGATAATCATAATTTTTCCCATTTATCACATTGATGTGGTGAATTATACTAATTAATTTCCTAATGTTAAACCAACCTTCCATTCCTGAAATCAAAATTGTACTTGATTGTGATATGTTACCCTTTTTGTGTATTGACAGATTCATTTACTAACATTTTATTAAGGGCTTTTGCATCTGTGTTTACAAGGAATACTGAGCTGTAGTTTTCTTATAATGTTCACCCTCATATTTAAAGAAATATAAATTAAAACAACACTGAGGTGCCATTTCTCACCTACCCAAATAGTAAGAATTTTGAAGTACAATAAATACACTCCAGTAGAGAGGTTTTGAGGGGCACCTTGCTGGCGCTTGGTAGAGCATATGACTCTTGATCTCAGAGTTGTGAATTCGAGCCCCATGTTGAGTGCACAGATTACTTAAACATAAAATCTTTAAAAAAGTGAGAGAGGTTTTGAGAAAGCATGTGAGCAAAACTCGCATGTTGCTGGTGGGAATGCAAATGGTGCAAACCTATTGGGAATTTTGCATTATCTAACAAACGAGATGAACATTTATCTCTTGACCCAGCAATCTCACTTGTAGGAATTTGCCCGGAAGATATACTTCTAACAGTATGAAAATACTACATGTAGGATATTCACTGCAGCATTGTTTATAATTATAAAACATTAGAAACAACCCAAATGCCCATTCACAGGGCAGTGGTTGAATACCCACAGGACATCTACACAATGGAGTATTATGCAGCTATAAAAAATAAAAATTAAAAGTAGGAGCAAAATTTCTGACCTGATTTCCAAAATACATTATTAAATTAAAAAGGCAAAATGCAAAAGAGCATGCATAGCAAATTATATATATCTTTTTCTAAGAAAAATTTTTAAATGTAGATGATTATGATAATTTGTCAAAAAAGGAACAAAGTTAAGAAAAACAGCAGATTGGAAAAAAAAAAAAAAGATAAATGGCAGGCTAATCAAATTGCTTACATCCAGGGGGTGGATGGCAGTGGGCTGGAAGAGAAAAGGTACTAGGCCAGAGTGGTAATGGTGGTGCTGGTGGTGGTGATGGTGTAATACTTCCAAGTATACTTCTTTGTATAGTTATAACTTTTTATATACTCAAAAAAGGAGAATAAGTCAACAAGAGAGTTGAAAGATATCAACAAGGGAGAGCCTAACATGGAATAAGACAAATAAACCTAATTGTGTTTTAAGTAAATAACGTAACTGGGGGTGAGGGGAGGCGTATGAGGGGAGGCATGTGAGGGAAAAACAAGCCCAAGTAACTTTTTTTTTTTTTTAATAATTATGGATTCACAGGAGGTTGCAAAAATTAATACAGAGAGGTCCTGTGTACCCTTCACCCTGTTTTTCCCCAGTGATTACATCTTATATAACTATAGTACAATATCACTAACAGGAAATTGACATAGGTATAATCCACAGATCCTATACAGATTTCACCCATTTTACATGCACTCATTTGTGTGCAGTGTGATCACATGTGTAGATTCATAGAGTCACATAACTACCAGCATAATCCAGGACTGTTCCATCACCACAAGGATCCCTTTCCTTTCATGGCCACACCATCCATCATCCCCAATCCCTGGCAACCACTAATCTGTCCAAGTAATTTAAAACACAGTATTTGGACTAAATATTCTCAGGCTAAAGAGAAAATGAAGTGTAAATAAATATTGAACTCTTTTTCACAGAGGTATAAGTTAACGAATTAAAAACTATCTTATATGTATTCTAGGATTAAACAAATAAATGTATTGTGGATAATGAGAGCCAAGTTTCTCACTGTCAGAGAAGAGAGTTACACATATGAAAAGGGGAAAGGATAGAAGGAACCCTGTGGTGCTGGATTGGAATTGGAGGTATCAATATGAACTTGTGGTTTCTAATAAGTATGGATAAAGAAATAGATATACATGTGTGACAGTGGTGTGTGTATGAGTGTGTGTATGCATTCATTCATCATTTTTCTAACTCTGCCCACTGAGAGAACATAAAAATAATTACACTTTAGTAGCAAAGTACCCACCTAGTACCCAGATCTTTGTTTCTAAATACCAATTTACACTAAGAGGAACAAGAGTTCCTTGAAGAAAAGGATACTTCCACAGCTGAGGTAGGGAAAAGTACAAGATGAGCCTGCAACATCTTGTGCCAGAAAGTAAGGAAATGTTCAGACATGTCACAAGACACACGAGCCAGCTTACAGGGTTTTGCTGACCAAATCTGGGATAATTTGGCATCAAAATAAACATTGACAGTAAAAGACTATAAACGATTAAAGAAAATAAGAATCTACGATTCTAATATGACAGGAAACAAGGAAGAGAAGGCACTTTCTTCCTTACAGTTGAAAGCCAACTAATGAGTATAAGAAGAAATGATGAGTTGGGGAAAAAATGCCATTTGACAGCCATCGTGATAATAGCTAGTATCACTATTAAAATGGTGAAAGTTTGTGGGGTACCAAGATATTTGCGTAATTTCAAAGTATACTGCCACAACATGCTCATTAACTATAAAGGGGAAAAAATAACTTTTTAGTGGAGGCCCTACCTTAGTCACTAAGTGATCAAAGTCAACACCAACAATAAGAAAAGTTGGCATCATGTGCCTTTTGATATGATGCACTGAGAAAAACAAAACCTAATTCTTGTGGTACTCTTGCCCCAAAATGTATAACCTCAGCTAATTGTGGGAAAATATCAAATCCCAAATGAGAAACATTTTATGAAAAACAACTGACCTGCACTTTTTAAAAATGTCAATGTCATGAAAGACAAAGTAAAGTTGAGGAACTAACTGTCAAAACAGATAATACAATTGTAATCTGTGATTTTCTTTTGTTATAAGTATCATTATGAGGACAATGAAAAAACTGATTAAAGTCTGTGGATAATATTATGTTAAAGTTAATTTCCTGATTTTGATCATTGTATTTGGTTATCTAAGAGAATGTCCTTGTTTTTAGGAATTATACACTGAAGTATTTAGGGGTAAATGGGCATCATGTCTGCAGCTTACTCTCAAATAGTTAAGAGAAATCAATAGAAAAGCAAAGATAAGGGGCGCCTGGGTGGCTTAGTCGGTTAAGCTTCCGACTTTCGCTTAGGTCATGATCTCGCGGTTCGTGGGTTCAAGCCCCGCGTCGGGCTCTGTGCTGACTGCCAGCTCAGAGCCTGGAGCCTGTTTTGGAGTCTGTGACTCCTTCTCTCTCTGACCCTCTCTTGCTCACGCTGTCTCTCTCTCTCTCCTAGAAATAAATAAAAAACATTTAAAAAATTAAAAAAAAAAAAGAAAAGCAAAGATAAAAGGATAAAGAAGATGTGATAAGCATTTGATGAAAAGCACTAATGGTGTTTGGGAATTCTTTGTACTATTCTTGCAACTCTTTGAGTCCAACAAAAAGTTAGGAAAAAAGGGTATGTTTATTGTAAGTAGCATATAGTCTGAGTATTTTTTTTTTAATGTTTTTATTTATTTCTAGGAGAGAGAGAGAGACAGCGTGAGCAGGGGAGGGTCAGAGAGAGAGGGAGTCACAGACTGAAACAGGCTCCAGGCTCTGAGCTGGCAGTCAGCACAGAGCCCGACGCAGGGCTCGAACCCACGAACCGCGAGATCATGACCTAAGCGAAAGTCGGACGCTCAACCGACTAAGCCACCCAGGCGCCCCTAGTCTGAGTATTTTTTAAAGCTTTTTCCTTTTAACGTCATTTTTGGGAAACAGAGAGCATGAGCAGGGGAAGAACAAAGACAGGGAGACACAGAATCTTAAGTAGCCTTCAGGCTCTGAGCTGTTAGCACAGAGCCTGATGCAGGGCTCAAGCTCATGGACCACGAGGTCATGAGCTGAGCTGAAATCATATGCTTAACTGACTCTGCCACCCTGGTGCCCCTAGTCTGGGATTTTTAGTCAGCTGACAATCCTTACCTTTTAATGGGAGTTATTTATTCCATTTACGTTTAATTGTTGGTTTTATATCTATTATCTTGCTGTTTGCTTCCTATTTGTCTCTCTCTCCTTTGTTCATTTTTACCTCCTTTTCTATCTTCTTTTGGACGAAATATTTTCTATTCCATTTAGTCTTTCTTATTGGCTTTTAGCTTTTTTTAATTAAAATTTTATTTTGGGACACCTGGGTGGCTCAGTCCATTAAGCATCCGACTTCAGCTCAGGTCATGATCTCCCACAAGCCCCGTGTTCAGGCTCTGTGCTGACATCTCAGACCTTGGAGCCTGCCTTGGATTCTGTGTCTCCTCTCTCTCTGCCCTCCTTCCCTCACACTCTGATTCTCTATCAAAAATAAATAAACATTTTTAAAAAATTGGGAGAGGAAGCACCTGGATGGTTCAGTCTGTTAAGTGCCCGACTTTGGCTCAGGTCATTATCTCACAGCTCATGGGTTCGAGCCCTGCATCGGGCTCTGTGCTCATAGCTCAGAGCCTAGAGCCTGCTTCAGATTCTGTGTCTCCCTCTCTGTCTCTACTCTGCTCATGCTCTCTTTCTCTCAAAAATAAAATAAACATTTAAAAAATGTTTATATTTTATTTTGACATAATTAGATATTTGCATTAGTTACAAGAAAGACCACAGAGAGATCCCATGTGCTCTTTAACCAGTTTCCCCAATGATCTCATTTCAAAACCGTAGTTCAGTCTCACAACCGGGACATTGAGACTGATACAAACAAGACACAGAACATTTTCATCACCACAAGGACTACTCATGTTGCCCTTTTATAGCCATAGGCACTTCCCTCCCACCCCATCCCTTCTCACCTCTGGCGACTAATCTGTTCTCCATTTTAACACTTTTTTCCCTTGTCGAATAATGTTTTATTGTGTGCTGGACATTATGAATGCTGTATTATTGAGAGTTTTTGTGGGTTGTTGGGTTTTTTTAAGAGTATTGAGTTTTATTCTGGCAATTAATTTGCTGGCAGATTTGCTTTCTCCTGTTGAGGCTTGTTTCTAGGATTTGTAAGGGTGGCTCAAAAGCAGGCCTTATTATAAAGGCTGGAGTCTGGAGGCCTAGTCCTTTTAGGGTCTCACCGAAGGTGCAAGGTGTTCAGTGAGGTCTCCTCACTCTGGCTCATTGAAACCCCGGTGTCTGTCAGCATTGGAAGATCTCCAGAATCTCCACTCAGCTCACAGTCCCTCCAGTTGCTGTTCTCTCTCAGGCTTTTGTGCTTCCTGGACGTGTGACAGAGCCCCTTTACACACATTGCTTGAGCTTTTCTTCTCCAACACGAATTCTGGCCACCTCAGCTGTCCTGACCTCAGTCTCTGCTCTGCCCCACAGCCCACTGCTCTGTGTTTGGGGCCCACACTTCCCTCTGCCTTAGTTAGAAAGTGCCCCTCATGAGAAATCTGGGGTGAATGTGAGGTTCGCCACTTCTGTTTCCCTTCTCTCAAGAATAACAGTCCTTTGAAGCAGCTTATCCAGTGTCTGAAAATAATTATTGCATATAGTTCTCCAGTTTATAATTGTTTATGGCAGGAGGGTAAATCCAATACCAGATAATCTGTGAATCTGGATGTCGGCCTTCCTCTGCATCTTGTTTTTGAAATTCAAATTTGAATTGCTATAGATCATCGTCCCTCCATTTCCAACTATGGCCAGTGCATGAAAATGATTTCTTTGTCCTTTGTATATCTCTGTGTTTGCCACCTGTGGATTATAAAATCAAGCAAACATAAGCCCTGGAAACAAAGTTAGAAGAAAAAATGCAGTTTGAAATAAAAGGTTATAGAAGAGGAAAACTGTCTTGTGAAAGAAATAGGCCAAATACAGAGTACAAATTGGACTTTAAAAAGAATTTGGGGACTATCTTGCAAATGCAATCACTTGGAGTTCCTTGCATCAAAGAAGCAAATTTGTCAGAGAAGATACACAATGATTTTCAAATCAATAGAGATAAAATGGATTTTCACAAATATTGTTGACTTTTTAAACTTCTGAATAGTAAGAAGCAAAAGTTAACAATATTCATTTTGCTTTTTAAACTTTGCTTTTATACAAATAATCTATGTGCCTAACGCAAAAGCAAAGGGAAAGGGAAAAAGAGAAAATTAAAATAATAGACACTTTGTGCTTTATCCTTTTCATAAGTGGCAGCAGCATAAAGAACCCCCTACTTTGCCAGATGTTGCAAAACCACAAAGGGGCAAGATGTTGCAGGAGAAAGAGCTCTCGGATCAGGGCCACCCGTGCTCCCCACTGCTGCACCTCCTTACGTGCTTGCGAGCTGTCTGCTCCCCGCAACTCTGTGACCAGCAGACCTGACAAGGACTCACAAACCTTTAAGGAAACACCTCGGAGCAGATGCATCTGAGGTTTATACCATTCTTCTAGAAGCTGACATTGCTCTCAGAACAATGAGCTTGGTTCACCTTCTTGAAGCAGAGCTGCCAGTTTGTAGCCCTCCCTCCCTGAGACTCTGAATATGCTGGAGCCCAGCCTTGCTGCTGAAGCCCTGCACGGGGTAGTAGTGACAAAGCCAAGGGCAAGCGTCCCTCTGAGACTCTCAAGCCCTAGACTTGAAATTTAAGAAGCTGCAATGCCCACAGCTGTGTATTTTTTACTTCATTTGTTTTGTCCAGGTTTCTCCCCTCTGGAGAAAGGCCTCGGAGTCCCCTGACCAAATGCACTCTCTCCTGCTTGTGTGTCCGGAGCACCACAAGCAGCTCACACACATGTGCACCTGCCCTGCACTGTATTTAGGTTCCCGTCACGTACCTTCTGCCCCTGTTCAACAGTCAGCTTTAAAATTAGCCAGACTCCTAAGAGGGAGCTAAAATTCCCTCATGCTGAAATATTGGATGAAGCATGAGAGAAACCCCTTCTTTTAATGCCTTGATGTTCTTTGCTGGGCCAAACAGGGTCTGGCACACCATGGACTTCCAGAAATATTTACTGTCAGTATGAATTCTCTTACAGTATGAAGTTATTCTTTTTCATTTGTCCTCAACTTGTCTTTTCCAAATGCCAAAGACTTTTCTCTCCTTCTGGCAGCAGTTAATTCATGAATAAATCTACCTCTGCCTGTCCACGAGCTTTGTGAGTTTGTAGGCTCCCGTTGTGCCTTCTTAGCCATCTCTGTTTTAGCATGAATGTTAGCACTTTTGGATGGAATTGTGCTGTATATTCCTTCAAGTGAGGATTGTGATGATTAACCCTCTTTCTCTTCTCCATACAGGGAGATGTTCTTTACTACGATGGAAAGCCACCTTCTGCGCTGCAAAGTGTTAGAAATCATATTCCTTCACAGCTGCGAGACTCCCACCCGCCTGCCCTTGTCTCTGGCCCAGGCCCTCTACTTTCTGAACAATTCCACATCGCTGCTCAAGTGCCAGGTACATGTTCCCCTGCTTCCATCAGGCCTAGAACACCTTTCCCCTGCCCCTTGAACTTCTAACTGAGGAAGGCATCTACTACCACCTGCTTTTATTTCTCCGCAGTCGGATAAAACCCAGTGGCAGACATGGGATGAACTGGTTGAGCATCTGCAGTTTCTGTTATCCAGTTATCAACACGTTCTAAGAGGTAAGGAGCATTTGTTCACAAATACGAGGCTGTGGAGGCCTCACAGTCGTCATTATTGTGAATTGAAGTTAATAGGGGATTCTAATTTGTCAGCCTAAGTAAAGCATTGTGCCTTGGTTGTAACTATAAGGAACAAGGAATGACATTGTTGGAATCACTGCTGTGAAGCCGAAGAATTCATGTATTTTTGTAATGGCAGATACTACAGTGGTGATTGCAGTTATTATGTTGTATAGGTAAGCAGAAGTCCTTATAACGTGACAAGTATTTTGTAATGATCTGATTAGCCCTGGCATCCTACCCTGGCCTGTCACTCCAAAGTCTTTGTTGGGTCACTTGCTCATTGACTGTGGACGTTGTAAGCATCTGTCAGCGTGATGCAAATCCAGAGCAAATCCGTGGCACACATCTTGCTGAAATTGTTAAGGCTCTGTCAAGTCTGTGAACGTAGCTTTGCTCAAGTCCCTGGCAAAGCCAGTGATCAATGAGGATCCAGGAGAGTTAGACTAATTAACACTCAGGAGGCAGATATCAACAAGGAAAATAACCAATAGCTGCTCCAAATGAGGGTGATTTTATTGGCCAAAGATTAATAAGGCCCTTGGGAAAACTGATGCCATCATTAATTCCAAAAGGAAAGATAGTAACTTTTTTTTCTTTTAATGTTTTTTATTTATTTCTGAGAGAGAGAGAGGCAGCATGAGCAGGGGAGGGTCAGAGAGAGAGGGAGATACAGAATCTGAAACAGGCTCCAGGCTCTGTCAGCACAGAGCCCAACACAGGGCTTGAACCCACGAACCAGGAGACCATGACCTGAGCCGAAGTCGGACACTTAACCGACTGAGCCACCCAGGCGCCCCAAGACAGTAACTTTTTAGGGGAGAAAACACACTTGTTTCTTAATCTAATGCCCTGAGAAAGAGACCTCATCACTTATGTAGCGTTCTTGCCAAAAATCCATGATCTGAATCTAATCACATAGAAGCATCAGACAAACTCACATTGAGGGACCTTTTACAAAACAATTGGCTTGTAGTCTTTAAAAATGCCAATGTCTTGGGGCACCTGGGTGGTTCAGTAGGTCGAGCATCCAACTCTTGATTTCAGCTCAGGTCAAGATCCTAGGGTCGTGGAATTGAGCCTCTCTATGCTGAGCGTGAAGCCTGCTTAAGATATGCTCTCTGTCTCTCGCTCGCTCGCTCTCTGCTCCTCCCCCAAACTCATGCTTTCTCTCTCAAATTAAATAAATAAATGAAATAAATATAGATAAATAAAGTGCTAATGGCTTAAAAACAAAGACCAAGAAACTTCCGGATTAGAAACTAAAGTACATTAATACTAAATGCAAAGCATGATCCTGAATGGGATCCTGAGCAATGAAAAAAGAAGGTATAAAGTACATTATTGGGACAGTTGATGAAGTTTAAGTAGATTACATAATAACATTATACTAATATTAAACTTCCTATTTTTGATAATGATCTTGGTGTGTGAAAGTAAATGTCCTAGGTCTTAGGAAACCTACACTGAGGTATTGAAGGGTACAAGGGCATAGTGTTCGACTTATTCTCAAACAGTAAGGAGGGAAAGTATATATTCATATATTAATATACACAAATTTACATGTAATACAAGTTTTATATTTACTTGCTGTGATCATGTTGAGATTGATTTTTATCTCAGTAATGGCACTTGGGAAGGTACAATAGTCCTTATACCCTCTCAGGCCTGGAACTGAGGAAGCTATTGTAGAGAAATTAAAAAACAGCACTGAATTTAGGACAGAAGATCTGGATTTGAATCCCAACTCCACCACTTACGCTGCTAACTTTATGGCTCTAGACCTCATTTTCTTCTTTCTGTGGAACGGGCATGGTAATATCTAACTTTTCAACGCTGATTGTTAACAGGTGTGAGAAAAAATAGTAAGCACACAGTCAGTGTTAGTTGACTCTCAGCCTATTTGCCCAGCCAGGAGTAGGCTACAAGGTCTTCCTACATTTCAGGCTCTTGTGACTAAAACTTAAAAGTGCATTGTCAAGGCCATGACATCTGCAGTTGTGTAGTTTGTGCATTATTGAGTACCTTCAAAGAAAGGTGCGTATCCTTCTCAGGACGAAGCCCCAAAGGCAAATTCCATGTGTACTTAGCCTCATCAAGGTTTACATAATTGTTCTTTTGGAGACCAAGCATAAAGGTTAATATTAAAGCAGCTTGGCTTTAGTTAAAGTTCACCTTTAACACTGCTTGTTCACCTCTGTTCTGCTTCCCAGGGCAATACAGCTAGGCCTTGGGCAATAGTGACTTAAGATGTACATGGGATCCACTTCTTTAGGGTTGTTGTTGTTGTTGTTGTTAATTTTAGTTAGTTTACATACAGTGCAATTTTGGTTTCAGGAGTAGAATTCAGTGCTTCATCACTTACATACGGCAGCACCTAGTGCTCATCACAAGTGCCCTCCTTAGTACCTATCTCCCATCTAGCCCCTCTCCCACCCAAAGGATCTGTTTTCACTACAGAATATTCTCATGCTTCTAAGAAAGGAGAGAGGAAAGCCTTAGACCGGTGTATAAACATTCTCTCCACTTTCTTTGGAGACCAAGAGTTAAGGAGAAAAAAATATTTAGAACCAATAGTCCTAAAATATTGGGACTAAATATTCTAAAAATATTTAGAAACCATGTCCTCCAAAGAAGACAGCTTAGTAATGGCACTCGGTACTGAAACGTTCGGTATCATTGTCAATAGGCTTTTTACTGTGAGGGCTCCTTAGTCATCTCTGCCCTCTGCAAGTGGTCTGAGGATGTTGTTGAGGGCATTTGGGGTCAGCCTGAGCTGTCCAGCTCCACGGATAGAAGGGAAAGGTTGGGGATATTGCCCTTTCTTTAGGGGAACATCTTTGCATGAGAGAAGAAGGAAGGCTAGTGAATTCACACACAATGGCTTATATAATCCAATAACCTGGTAAAGGAGAGTATCATCCCCTTTTTATAGATGTGGAAACAAAGGCTGAGAAAAAAGTAAGGTGCAGAGCCAGGATTCAAACTTAGGTCTCTTGCCCAAGGCTGTGTGCAGTGAAAACACACTGGAAGAAATTACTATTCTATGAAATCACTGGGTAAGATTAGAAGATGGGATTCTAAGGAATCTCCAACCCCCCATTTTCTAAACTCTCTGTACATTGTTAAATTACTTATATACAGGGGCGCCTGAGTGGCTCAGTCGGTTGAGCATCCAACTTTGGCTCAGGTCATGATCTCACGGTTCATGGGTTCGAGCCCTGCGTCAGGCTGTGTTGACAGCTAGTTCAGAGCCTGGAGCCTGCTTCGTATTCTGTGTCCCCCTCTCTCTCTGACCTTCCCCTGCTCATGCTGTTTCTCTCTCTCTCAAAAAATAAATAAAACATTAAAAAAACTTTTTTTAATTACTTATATACAAACCCTTGACCTGGGGGAGAAGTAGATCCTGAAGCCCCACACTTTGTAAGTATATCAGGGCAGAGCAGGCACACTGAGATCCTGGTCTGCCAGGTGAGCTCACACTCTCGGGCTAAGAGAAGCAGTCCCCCTACACCCCACTTACGTAGCCGTGCGGCTCAGGTTCGAGCTAAGCACAATTACGACTTACGTTCTGCCATGAATTTTCCTGACACTTGTGAATAGTTTATACCTCTTGTTTTGAAGCTATGAATGCTAACAATAAACATATAATATTTAAAGGAAGAAAAACACATGCTTCTCCTGAATTCCACTTGGCTGGACAGCTGAGCAATATGGCCCGCAGAAGTCAGACCGCAGTTCATTCTGAGGAGAGACACACACACAGCCTTCCTACAAGGAGCCTGTCCAAAGAGGGGAGAAAAGCAGATGCAGGCAAGATCAGTTCAATTCGTACATTCATCCAGGCAACAGATATTTACGGAATGCCTCCTGTGTGCCTGGCTCATTGAGAATTCAGTGTGTAAGACCAACATGGGCCCTGCCCTCACAGAGCTTACTGTCAAGTGAAAAGATTTGATTGTAAACAAATAGGCACACAACTAACATATAATTACAGTTAAATGCTCTGAAGGAAAGAAGAAGTACATAAAATAGGAGGAGGTAATCTGTTTTTGGAGGGCCCCACAAAGGCCTCCCTGAAGAAGGGATACTTCACCTGAGATAAGAAGTACTGGTGTTAGCCAGGCAAACAGGGCAAAATTTTCCAGGGGAAAAAAAAAAAGCCTGCCTAAGGCCCCTGAGGCAAGAAGTTGCGTAGTGAGTCCAAGGAACATAGAACACGCTAATGAGACTGGAATGTAGAGAGCAAGGGGAGAATCCCACGAGATGAGCCAAGAGTAGCAGGTAGGTAGCGCACAAAGGGCCTTTGGAGCCATGTTAAGGGATGTTGACTGGATTCTAAGAGTGGAGAGAAGCCATCAAAGTGGTTTTGCATCGCGATGGCTGCTCTGCCTGATGTGTGGCTAGTAGTTTGGCGGAGGACCAGGGAGGTCCCTGAATGGGCATGGTGGCGAGGGGGTGGGTGGTGCAGCAGGGAAGGCCGTGGGTGGTACAGAAGCACTTTAAAGATCAGTTTGACAGTGACGGAGTCTGAAGGATGACTCCAGGGTTCTGCCATTACTACAGGGAGATACATGGAGAAAGATCTGCAAAGAAGATAAAAAGCTCAGTGTAACGGTTAGGTTGGAGATTCCTATAGTGATGGCGATGATGATGATGATGATGATAAAACAATAATAGTTAACCCTAGGAACCTGATCCAGAAACTGACAATAAGAATACCACCAGCCAAAGTATCTTGAGTAGGGCATTGTGCTGGACCCTGTACATAAATCACCTCACACAGTAATCCCAACAGCCTCTGATGTAAGACTTACTAAGCATACTTACTGGAGCATAAAATCCGAGGCCTTGCCAACTGGACCAGAAGGGCTGAAGTCCACTGGCTGAGAGCTCCTCCCCCTTGGCTTGGATGGGAACTGCAAACATTTGCCTCTTTGAACATCCTGTATGACCTTAGTGAACTCCAAACTCTTCTTCCCACCCCGAGTCTTCCCTATCCCCCTCTGTTCAGCCAGTTCTTTTCATGTTTTCAAAATCACTTTCATATTTTTCAGGGTAGCATAGGTCTTCAGAAAACCACATTTTACTACAAGGCTTTAGTCCCCCTACAAACATTTTCCACCAGTAGCAGACTAAAATAGGGCACATTCCCCAACTTCCAACCCTCCAGATACTTCCATTTGCTCTGAAAAGCCAAACTCCACATTGTTCTGTGGTCCAGCCTACCTTCCAGTCTCCTCTATTACCGTTCTCCCTCCCTTACTACCCAGGCTTTGCCTCTAGTTCTCAAAACAAGCTTTGTCCTGCTTTGGGGCATTTACACCTGCTGTTCTCATTACCTGAACTGCTTTTCCCCTGGATCTTGGCATGGCTGCCTCCTTGTCATCCTTCAGGACTCAGCTAAGAGGCCCTCCCTGATTAGAGTGGGCTGCTTCCCTCATTCCCCCAGTGCCACTATTTATCACAGCATCTGTTTTCTTTCTTTCTTTGTACTCACCAGAACTGTAATTGTTTTTGATGGCTGGTTTACTGTCAGGCTCTCTGCAACTAGAACGTCAGTCCATGGGGGCTGGGCCCAAGTCTAATTCCACTGTATCCCTGGAAACTAGCCCAGTTCCAGATGCACACATAGTAGGTGCTCGCTGAACTGTTGCTGATTGAGTGCTGAAAGGGCCCTGTAATGACATCTCAAGGCAGCTCTGCTTCTTCCATTTCCTTTTTGAATACTCCGTAGTGTATTTGTACTTTTTTTCATATGACAGGCCTAGTGCCAGAAGTTTAGAGGGACTTTACCTGGAAAGATAGGTTGAGGAAAAATATATTGAGCATATAATTTGAAAATGTAACCTAATACATTGCTTAAAAATAAATTTATCCTGTGTTTCCCAAATTTCTGGGTACAATGTAGTTCATTCAGTCCTATAACCCTGCTAGCGGAAGTGCCATTTTCCCCACATCACAAATGAGATCGAGAAAATGAGGCTGTAGTGCACATGGTGCATCTGGGAGTCTGCAAGTCTTCGGAGCTCTCTTTGATCCCTTTGCCTTAGCCTGACCTGTGCTCCTTTGCCTGAATTCCACATGCTTCCAGGATCCTGTTGGGGCTGATCTGTGCATTTGGATGACAGACCTACTTTTCCCCAATGTTTATTTTTGGACCTACAGAAGGGTTGAGTGGTTCAAGGAACACCCATTTACCTTTTATGTTGATTTGCTAGCTATTAACATTTTGCCACATTTGGTGTATCTGTTGATCCACCCAAATACTTTTCTCTTTGAGAGTTGAGAATAAGTTGAACCATCATAATTCTTCATGTTTAGGGGTGCTTGGGTGGCTTAGTCGATTGAGCATCCGACTCTTGATTTTGGCTCAGGTCATGGGATCGAGCTGTATCAGGCTCTACACTGAATGTGGAGCCTGCTTAAGATTCCCTCTCCCCGTCTGCCCCATGCTTGCTCGCTCGCAAAATAAACTTAAAAAGGGGCATCGGGATGGCTCAGTCGGTTAAGCAGCTCACTTCAGCTCAGGTCATGATCTCGTGGTTCATGGGTTTGAGCCCCACGTCGGACTCTGTGCTGACAGCTCAGAGCCTAGAGCCTGCTTCAGATTCTGTGTCTCCCTCTCTCTCTGCACTTCCCCACTCATGCTCTATCTCAAAAATAAACATTAAAAATAAACTTTGAAAAAAAATGGAGTTACCACAAATACGCAAATAGCCTTTGACTCGTACCCCAGTAACCAGTCTCTGCCCAGACCCTACCTGCTAAAACTGCATCTTCTTAAATCCTAAGGGGGAGTAAAAAGCAGTTCAGGACAGTTCAACGGACTCTTTCCCTCTTGCAGAGCACTTACGGAGTTCTGTGATTGACCGAAAAGACTTAATCATCAAAAGGATTAAGCCCAAGCCCCAGCAAGGGGATGACATCACAGTGGTGGATGTGGAGAAGCAGATCGAGGCTTTCCGCAGCCGCCTGGTCCAGATGCTGGGGGAGCCGCTCGTCCCGCAGCTCCAAGACAAGGTGCACTTGTTGAAGCTCCTGCTCTTCTATGCTGCCGACCTGAACCCCGATGCAGAGCCTTCTCCAAAGAACTGGAGCAGCCCCTGAGGTCCTTCTAAGCACTGAACACCAAGAATACCTCCTGAACTCTATCTCCAACTACTTGGAAGTTCTAAAAGTATCTGAAGTAGTTAAAAATCTTATAGGACCAAACCTATCTTATTTATCTATAGGTTAAAATGGACTTTCTCTTTAGTAAATATCTTTTTTTGATATTCTAGCCTGTTCTCAAATATGGCTTAAATATACAAGGTGTATATATTTTTTAATAAATTATTTATACCTTTTTTGAAACAGGTAATACTATATGCACTATGTGTTTAACATTTCCATTCAGTATGTGAAAAAAGCCCTCTGCTGAACAAATTCTGGACATCAATGTATGTCATTCAAGGTACTGTTAACCTGTTTCGAAAGAGAAAGATATACTCATTTCTCCCTGATGGAACACAAACATCCTATTTTAGAGCTGTTATGTTGCCTATGAATTTGACTTTGTGGCCAGTCTGTTAAGATCTAATGTAATGGGGGGAGGGGGAGGTGGAAACAAATGTGTCACAAATAATTTGATGTTAAATGGATACAATAAAAAGGCAATGGTTTTTCAAAATACCAAGTTTACCATGCTTAGGTTCTATGACTGTGAGTAGGCAGAATGTAGTAACTCTTAAGAGGACCAAAAAAAACCCAGAAAACAAGCTATCCATGGCTGAGAAAGCATGAAGGATTTTTATTGTCAAAACAAGAAATCCAAGCATACAGAAGACACAAATAAATTAATTATTCTGATCAGTTTAGACCCCAGGGCTTCTCTATGGAAAGGCCAGCTCAGCTCCTTACATAGACAGGACACTATCCCAAACAAACCGTGGGAATTTGAGACCATGTTTAGGACAGTGACTGACCATATACATGGTGAGAGGGGAAACAGAACAAGTGGCTTCCTCAGTAACTTACATATTTATAAAAGTATGCAGCTCTTTGTAGGGGACAATGATTTCATAGAGAAAGTTTTTAAATTCTTCTACCTCCCAGAAAAAAGAAGGTTTATGCTTGGCCTGAACAAGAAAAAAAAAAAAAAAAAAAATTCAAAATAGGGTGACTACTGGTTTCACATGAACCTCAAGACTATGATCTAAATGTAGGCACCACCTTCCATACTAAAAAAGTTTACCATCCATTTATCCTATACCAAACCAGTACACTGAATCTCCTACCTTAAGGAAGTTTTCGACTAGATTGGGAGTTAAATTAACCTCATTTTCAAAGTGCAAAAAAGGGTCTGCAAGACTAGTGTTTGCTCTGTGACACCTAAAAAGAGAAGCATCCCTCCTAGAGCACTGAGGTGCTCCAGCGGCTGCAAGCGGACGTGATAAGCAAAGGCCTACCGAAACACAAGGACGCTCCGGCTGCAGCAGAGGAAGAGGGGGCCCTGCCGAGTCTGGCTCAAATAGACCTCACATCCCCCACTGACACGGCTGGAACACACAGAAGTGCACAGTTAGAAAAGTCTAAACTAGCTCGTGAACACATCTACTCCATGATGTGTCCGTGCACACGCTGACAGTGGTAAAGAAATCAAGAAGCCTCCGTTTTGGACCAACGCAAACATTATTTACCTAGTAAGCAGTGATCAAAGTTCTTGTCTAAGGTAAACAATACAAAAATGGGTAATGAGGTCCCCATACATCACTGCTGGATTATTTCACTTTAAACCATACAAAATGGCTTCTTCCACACAAGGATAGGCTTTGCACTAACATTTCTCAAAAACCAATTGTATCTCCAGCTCTAGCCTCGGTTTAAAAGGTTAAAAAAACAAACAAAAAAACTTTCCTATGTCAAAGCCAAGGTAAAAAGGGAGTTGGGTACAAGATATCCTCTATCCAGAGCCCCTGGAATACAAAGAGCTCTAGAAGCCAGTGGGTGTGAGCACATTTAAGTCACGGGGTTTGAGATTATGGGTCCGTGGCGGTTGTTTCTTCCCCTCCATCACTGGGATGTCCATCTTGGGCGGCTTGAAGGTTGCTGGGTCTTCAGCCATTCGGGTGGCCTGGGCACGGATCAGTTCCATCGGAGAAGGCTTCTGGGCTCCTCTGTAAGCCTGGGTGGCAAAACCTCCTATGGAAGTAAACCCAAAAGTAAATGATTTCAAAATTAGTAGCAGCTCCCGATATACATGGTAAAATGCCATCCACATGGGGTTGTGTTGGAAGGAGCTGCCTTACCTGAATCAGACTTCTGGAGGGATCTTGGTCCAAAGAGGCTCCATTTATCTGCCAGGTTTCTGTCCTTGTCCCCACTTGCAGGATCCATGGTGCCAGGATTTGGGCCAGGTAAGGCTGTGGCAGGACCAGAAGTGAACCAGCCTCTGGAAGAGAAAGAATAAAGCATGTCCTTATATCCCCTTCCAACACCTCTAGAAGCGTCTCATGCCAAAAGACTAGGAACTGTCAGCTTCCCCCGCCCCCGCTCCCCGGCTCCCTCTGAAACCACAGGCTTCAACTCCAACCTCGCAGGCAGCACTAGCCTCCTGGAGGCTCACTCAGCGCAGCAGGCTCCCAGGAAGGGCTCACCTGGACTTCTGCTTAGGGGATGAGTGTGGTGTGCTGCTGGGGGTGGACTGGGCCGAGGCTGGCTGCCTCTCCTCTCTCATGATCTCTCCGCTCTGTAGCTTTAGTTTCTGTTCAGACAGGTGAGAAGAGACTTTTTCTTAAATGACAGCAAATACAAAACAGCTCGTTTGGGTATAAATAACTTGGTTCACACTTTAACCCAGGCAAAAGGAAAAACATTAATTGGTAGAATAATTTTGGATTATAGAACAGATATTCCTTTGATTTTGCCATACTAGACAGAATTCCATCTTTAGGAGAATGTATTCATTCCACAACGTATCTCAAATAGCTCTGTACTAAATGCCTCAACAGACCTTTTACTTTCAGAGAAATAATTTCCCCATTTGCCAGCCAGTAGGTGGAAGAACCAGAATGCAAGCTATAGGCCTTGCTGGCCTTTTAAGTAGGGCCTTGAACTCATGCTGCTTCTACCAGGTACAAGCCCTGCCATTCCTGGTGTCTCAAAGCCAAGACTCAGGCATGCTACTCCTCTCCAGCTAAATGCTTTCTCTGTGGAGGCTGCCCCTTTCCCTCCACTGGGGAAGTCACTCTGGGTTCCTGGGCACTGTAAACACACCGAACATACAGACTAGCCATCTCGGAGGGAAGAGACAATTCTACTTTTCAGTTCTTCTAGTAGATCAAGTCCCCCTCCCCCCCACCACCATCTCTGTGCTCCATGGTCTAGCAAGCCCAAGCTACATTCCAAATAAATGAGCATGCCTAAATGTTCTCCAACGCTCATCAATTTATATAAGCTGCCATTTCAGCCATCCCCATGTTCTACTCCTGTGGCCAAGATGCAGAAAATGGGCCAAAGCCCATTCTACCCTTATATAGGGTGAATTGCTCAACTGGAATTCTAACTGATACCTATCCTGGAAAGTTCTCGGTGCCTCTCTCCGGAAGTATCTGCCTTGTCTGAGAGATTGAACTGGTCACCAACCCAACCCTGATCCCCTACAGCAGTGGTTTTAAACTTAGGGTGCAAAGAATCATCTGGGATGCTCCCGCAAAATCCAACAGTCCACGATGTCTAATATCCTTACCCACAGGCCACTGGATCCATATTATCATATATCCTTCCATATACTGTGCATCATGACCCTCCTTATGACTCCTTAAGGAACCAGATTCTCAGACAACTTTGGAATGTGGGTGGGGGTGGGAGAACACCAGGAAATAGGGAATCCGGAGACTTGAGTTCTAGTACTGTGACTGGTTATATATAGGACCTTGGGCCTCAGTCTCTTCACTTCTAAAATATGGAGAACGGTATGTACCTCCAAGGATTAATGCAAAGGCTAAGTGAATGCAAGAGCTTCACAGATCACAAAGCGCTATTAAGTGCCATCGAGTATTCCCTGGCAGAAAATCCCTTGAAACTGTCATTCATACAACTAGTCATTAACCTTACCAAAAATTGCTCTTCATTCATTCTAATTTTAGAAATGAAAGGGCAAAAACATTTCAATTCTACATTTGATTTTAATATTTTAAAAATTAGGGGAGCCTGGGTGACTCAGTCAGTCAAGTGTCTGACTCTCGATTTCAGCTCAGCTCCTGATCTCATCGTTTGTGGGTTCAAGCTCCACATCGGGCTCCATGTTGACAGTGCAGAGCCTTACCGGGATTCTCTCTCTCTCTCTGACCCTTGCTCACACTCACTCTCTCAATATAAACAAACTTAAAAACAAAATTAAACCTAGAGCATAATGTTCCTTTCCCAGTAAAGTGTTGAGATTGTCTGATTCTCCTCTCCCTCAAAGCCAGTCACCCTGGTACACAAAGTACCCACTCCACTGTTCATAACGTGCTCACACACAGTGTGTGTGTGAGCGCAGTCTCCTCGGATCCCCCTGGCCAGAAGGAAACGAGGCAGATACCCTCACTTTACAGATGGATAAACAGAAACCACACTCTAAGAGTTCTGGAGCTTTCCACCAGAAAGTGCCACCACGGGTGGGACTAAACCAGTTGGGAACCGCTCACCCAACTCTTTCCACCGCTCTCCACACGCCCTGCTAGCCGCACTGGTTAACGCTGGTTAACGTGTAAGGCACGGCCGCATCTCGAGCTGTGAGTGAGGAGGGCTGTCTTAACATGCCTAAGAGACGAGCTTACGTGGAGTGCTTCTGCCACTCGCAGGTACTTGGTCTCCTCGGTGGTAAGGCCCTTGTGGGGTGTGTAGCCAGCATCTCTCAGCCCTGCCTGTTGCTCAAAACGCTGAATGCTCTCCTGGGTCTGTTCTGGGAACAGAGGAGATGATTGTCATGCCCATCCCCCTCTCCCACCACAAACTGGGGGAGGTCACCACCGACATCCGCCGTTCTCCCCAGGACCAAGAGATCACACTGACCATCTGAGGAGGAGGGTTCCCCCCAATGGGCATCAGGGCAGCAATGCGGAACTTCATACAAAAGTTCTCTGACAGGGAGGAGGCCTTCCCTCACACCACACTAAAAACAGGTCACTCCTAAAGGGACCGGATAACCTGCAGGGACACACTCCTTACCTTCCTTTTATTTGTGCACTGACATTTTTGTATAGGTTTAGAAATGCAACATGGTGAAGGCGATGACATTCAGAAACAGTGCAAGTTCTCCAAGTGCCATGCTTCCCCACACAGACTCCCCACCTGCATTATTCCCACACAGACCTCCACCAAAGACAAACGGGCCACATTTAGGCAGGACGGCACCAAGGCTCCAAGCCAGTCCAAACCACAGAGAACACGCCTTGACCTGGCCACGGTCTACCGATCCCACGTCTCTGCAGTGTGAGATTGCCCATCTCGGTGCCCGGCAGAGGACCCAGGCAGACTCGGTGCTGGGTCAGTCAGCCAGGTATCCTGTGAATGACTGACAGCTGCATTTTGGCTCAACCTGTACACATGCCACAGAACACACCCCTTCATATAGGAATGTGGCAGCTGTGGACCAAAAGCCTAGACACCAGATGTCCTTTATGGCTTAGCCATTCCCCTTCTAAGGAACTATTT